TTGTAGAAAACGAAGTGTCTTAAATGACGAAATGTATATCAACATTTATTTTATAATGTGACCACCTGAAAAGGCAACCTAGTCCTTATTAAATAGTCTTTAATATGTTTATAAATAGTTAACAATTGCAATTTAAAGATAAGCGAATATTCTTTCAAGGTGAAATTGTCTGTACGTTATCGACGTAACTGCTTGAGACTGTACAAGAGCAATGGTTTATTAACGTGTCAAGTATTTCAAAAAGTTCCAATGTATATTGTTACGATAGCAGGAGACGAAATATCAATTAATAATAAAAATTATATTAATTTTATATATGGCAAAATAATTGTTTCTGAAGTACCATGCGTTTGTTACAAAAAACAAGTTTGTAATGAGATGTAGCGTCATTGTTTTTGAAAGAAATTCATAAAACCGATTCAGAATTGATATAATGTTCATAGTTTTGATAAACGTCAAATTTTTTAATTATACTTTTATTTTGATTAAATTTCGATTGAATAATCTATTCTTTGACTGACTTTTGTGGAGCACTTCGAAATCATTTTTAAATATCAAAGTACAGAGTATTTTTGACAGTTCACTTTTTAATTTGTTATTCCCTTTTCCCAAGTGACATTTTATATCCAACTATATTTATCGATATAACAACGTTTGACAACTTTAGTGTTCAATTTATTTTCAATTCTTACATTTGTCATATTATATCAAGCTCACATCTTTAAAAGCATCAGTTGTCACGACCATATCTAAAAATACTTCCTGGAACACGTATTTCATTAAAAATCAATGATAACGTATAAGCAGTGTCCATATTTTTAATACGTTCTTGTAAGCACAATTTTGATTATACATTGATTCTTTCATATTGCATTGTATATTTTGAGAACTTTCTAAGGAAAAGCAATTTAATTTTGAGATTAAATCAATACACGCAGTTTTTTTTTACGATTTTATTGATATAGTTTTCAGAAAGTTTCAATTTTATTTTTGTTATTCAATTTAATATTTTTCCTTAGAACAATACTACATATAATACTTCAAAGTTCAAACAACTTTAATAGTAAAGACTTTTTTTATTTATAACAACTATTTGAAATAACCTAAATTAAATTTACTTCCAAAGTACGTATATGATGTTTAGGTCCTAAATTGTATACATAAACTGATTTTAAATAGTGTTCAAACAATTCAACAGTACAACATTAAAATTAACATTTTTCGATTGGACTAAAAACAATAAATACTGTGTATATTTTTAATATAATAAAATAACTTCTTTCATTGGACTTTGGAAAGCAATTTGCTTTCTTCATTTATAACTTAGATCTATTTTACTATTATCCAGTTAAACATCTCCTATTCCTTTTTATTTTACAGAGAGGCATTCCTGTTTCTCTCTGTTATTTATTACGTGTACCATAATTTCGTTTTTATTTTTTAATATGTTCATAATTAATCATTGTTTCTAAAACAAAGACCTAAAGCATGTAAAAACTTTGGTATATTTCTAAAATAAGGTAGAATCGTCATGAAATGTTACAAGCTCTCATAAATTAATTAATTATTAGTATATTAGATATTTATTTTAAATTTATTATGAGTGACTTATTAATGTTAAATGGTTCAAAAATTGTTTTATTGAAAATGTTAAAATTTATTGAACATTTTGAATGAAAATAGCTATGTGGATAATTTTCATTAGCAAATATCGTGAGGGTAGATGTAATTTATTTGTGATAGGATAAAAACAATACTATGTAATATATGGACTAACTAATGCATTTTAAGTCAGTTTGCTTTTTTAAGGACTGTATTAATAAAGTGTTATCGATATTCATTTGTAATCAGAACTATAAATTGTGAAATAAGACATTAGTAACAATGTGTTTGTGTAATTTGATGTGGACGCTAGATTGACTATACATACTTTCAGTGAAAAAGTTTCGTAAAACACTGTCACCGCTGCGTTTAACTCTTTGACAAACTTCGGGTGAAGATTGGCTCGGTATGATTTAATTTTTTTATTATTTTAATACAATATCGATATATATATATATATTTTTTTTTTTTGATAGACTTCTCCTCGTTCATCACCAATGATTGAATTGATTTAAGTCATCTATCCTATTAATGAAAAAAAAACTGTTTATAAACTTCTTTCTTAAAATACATTAGCACTACCTGATAAAACTGGTGTTTAAGTAGACGAAAATATAGATTATTTCTTTGGTGATTCGGTTCGACGAGTACAACTTTATCACAATTTTACATTTACTAAGTAACAACATTCAATTTTAGATCCGTGATTAAAAAAACGCCATCCAATTACTCTTTAGAATCGTTATCAAGTCACTCCTTACATATACAATCGGATCCTTACTACATATATGCTTCTGGCTTGACATAAGTTATTGAGCTGATTAAGGAACCATTAAAAAAAATGAGGCCCTAAATAGTTTTTAAGAGCGCTTGAAAAACTAAAAAACCGATTCACGAAGAAACCAAGAAATTCATTATATTTAGTATTTATTCCATATATTATTTTAAATTAAGACCTTATATTTAGTTTGACAACCTTGTGAATTTCTTTTGTTCTAACTTATTTTGATAATAGTTAAATTTTAGTCATAAACATTTGGCCCGGCCTTCGTTCACCCATATTACTTTTCCATATACCTATGTAATTAACAACATATTGATTACTATAATACGTACCTATGTATATGTAGCCGTGGGTTTTGTCAGGATAAAGTTATTCAATCATCTCACTCACTTTAGAAGTTATATAAATAGAAGTAACTAATAATTAAAATATATTTTATGTTTATATTTTATTATAATGTTAAATCTATGCTAATTTACTAGTGGGAACATTGAAGCGTCAATTTGTATTTTGAAGCTATAAATATCGGCTTCAGTAATTTTATATCGGTAGTCTTAATTGTTTAAATAAACGCTGAGCAAGAACATCACGTATTTTAACAAGATTTCTTTTAATTTCTTCTAAGAGTCGATATTTTTCTATTATAGTTTTACATTCTTAGTAAATAAACATATGTTTTTAATTTGGATATAGGTATGAAACAACTTGAAAAAAAAAACCGAAGGGAAATTATTATATATGTTACGTGAAATATTGTATAATATGTAATAAACAAATGCATTATGAATTACCATTTAATGGGATTTTAGCATCTAAAATATTCTCACATAAAAATAGAAAAGACGTGACCATTACTATAGTTCTGTTGAATTACGCAATTACCCAATAAAAAATATCCTTATAGTAAAAAATGCTCGTTGTTTTAAAAATTGTATACTGAAAAAGAACTTTAAAATACAAACTTACAAATTTTAATGTATATTATCCGAGTCGTATCAACATAAATAAAATGTAACGGTTTGCATAACTTTGAACTTAACAGTTTCCATTAAAATATCATCAATACCGAACTATATTTAGAAAAGGGTGCAACATTGTACATATTTCAATTTGTTTTAGAGTTTCAATTATTGGACAAATAACTGGAATAAAATATAAATGATGCAGATGTTAACGATGTAGATAGAAATATATTTTGTGTTTATGCCTTTTTTATAGATTTTTTCTATACTCGTATAATGTGTGTAAGATAATAGTTTAAATGTATTAAATTTTAGAATATCACTCAAATTAAGTTTAAATAGATTGAAAATGGAAATAACGATGACGTAAAAAAATATCAGTCACTTCAACTTCAACAACCTTTTCCTAAAACAGATAATTGTCACTTGACAAGAAACGTAACTTTAGACTTCAAAACAAGTTAAAGTTAAGAACATTTCTATATAGGTTAAGACAAGTCTAAAATGTTTATGTATTCTCCTTGTTATGTTAGGCTCAGTTTAGAAAGTTAGCTATTTTCTACTTGAAATTTACACTTAAATAACACTTTAAGTGTTTATTTTTTCTTAATGAATATTGAGTACAAAATTATTTTATTCAGCTAGATTTGAATGCAGCATCATTACATTGCTAAGACAAGGTTTGATGTCGTTTTTGATTCTTTCCAGTCACGTACAATCGGATAGAGCTTTGCAACTGAATTGCTATAGAATAGAAAAATTGAATTGTAACATAATATTTTTTTTATTTTAAGAATTCTTGATACTAATTTATAACAATGACTTCGTTAAGTTTAAGGTTTTAAATAAGTGACAATTGAAAGTGACCATTAGATAGCAATGTTTTGTGTATTATTATGTTAGGTTTTATTAGGTGTCTTGTTAGGGAGTCCATATAATTGTCGAGCATTTAAATGTAGTTTATAATCACGTAAGAGTTATAACCACTAAACTATTTTATTTAAGATAAGGTTATTAAAATTATTATAATTCTTTTTTTTCTTCCTTGGACTTACATGACAAATAAAAATGAATGGCATGGCATGGCAATGGCAACATACAGGATTTTATGCATATTTATGTTGTCACTCACTAAATGAAATAATGACAGTCGTACAAAACATTGTTTTAAACACATGTATTTCTACATGGAAAATATATGTAGTATTTCTAAGTTTCTTATTAACAATTCTGTGAAAAATTCCATTTTAGCTTCAGAGTATTTTATGTTTTCATTAATCACAGCATCTAACCACGTGTTTGCAACCGCATTTCTTCTATTAAAAATCTTTTTAGAGTATTTCTGTCTGATGTTCTCGTTAGTCGGCTTAAAAACTAAAATTTTAAACAAAAACATTTCATTTGTAATTCAAGAATTTTAGTTGTAGTAATGGATACTATTGTTAGGTGTGAATATAAAAAGCCTATCAAGTAATTTGTATTAATCGGTTTCAAAATTTTTAATAAAGTGCTTATATTTATTTATAAGACGAGACGAAACTTCTTAGCATTCCATGGATTCACCGTGCGGGTGCCGGGTCCATCGCGTTGCAGGGAGAGGAGCTTCAACAGTGCCTGGGACTAGCGACCCAGGTGTGGGTTTAAGGGGCCCCTTAACTATCGCGCGTTATACGCTCACCTCCACTATCCAAGCTCCTCTCCCTACCTAACCAAATTTGAAAAGAACCTACTAGGGCTGCCTTCGATGTACGTTCCAAGAATGCATTAATGTGAGTTCTGGACAAGCCCAAGTCTTTTAGTAGGTTGTAGAGAGATTTCGCTGTTATACCTCTCGCTCCCACCTCTACCGCGTACAAATCTACTACGAACCTATTTCGAGTGAGTTCGTTTGTGAGCTCGTAATATTTGTTGACCTTGATGGTATGGTCTTTGGGATGTTGGTTTCCCAAGGGACCGTAAGCTCTATCATCACTACGCACTTTAAAATTCGCGAAAACAAAAATATATCCTGTCTGGAGGCCGACGCTCAAATATCCTCGGGGATTTTATATTGTTTTTCATACGTGTCCATCAGTATAGTGTCTCTATTTATTACAATAAAATGGATATATGGTATTTAAAAGCAAAATGGTATTTAAAAGGTATTTAAAAGCAAACAAAAAATGTGACTAGATAGTAGACAGTTTTAATTCCACTTTCAGTGTGGATGATTAGTTAAGACACTTTAATTTTATGTCACAAATAAAAAAATGTCGATAAATATTTCATTTACTATTTTTAAGTGTAATATTTAAGTATGTCACATATTTTCTTTTATAAAATTTGATAGTCAATACTTATGAGAGTTAATCAAATTAAATTTAATATTTTATCGAGTCTCATCATAATATTATATTCAATTGTGCAGTGTATAAATGTGTAGATAAGATATGTTATTTAAAAGAATCTTTACGCTGTACAAATTTAAATTAAATTAAATTAGTGTAAATGGTGCTACAAAAAATCCAGTTACATATTTGTTACAATTATTAATTAAAACTTATTTGATAAATAGGGCAGACGAATACTACCAAAAGTTTTGCTTCTTTTTTAGTACTGATATCACTTGTCATAATATTTATATTGTTCTATTTTATAGTAATTGTAAGAGATTTCATTAGTTCACATGGCATGATTATAGGGATTTATTTTGGACTACTACCTAGTTCGCAATTAAAACTACGAACGTGCAAGTGCACTAACTGCTCTTAAATGCACTACCGCTTTTTGACATAATAAATCAGAATAAGACACTACAAAGTTCTTTTTTAATTTAGTACTACTGTTTTATTTATAGTGATTTTATAATGTTTCATTTCTTTTTTACCTTTAAGTTCCGTAAACTGAAAACAAAAACTTGATTTTGTTCGATAAAATATAAAGTGGAAACTAATTTGTCGTTATTGTAAATAAAACAAGTTTAAACAGATAATCTTACAAAATTTAACAATTGTATAATAATAACATATAATTTTAGTAAAATTATTTTAGTATAATTGTTACAGCATACTTAAAAGTAAAATACATGATGTGTAGGTTGGCCTTTTAATGCTGAAAGTATGACTGCGTAGGATGTCTTTCCAAGTAATATAAAATAATCAAGCCGTTTTTCTACCACACAACTTCAAGGGAGTTCGTCTTCCTTTATTGTAATTTCATATTTTTAGAATCTTTATTTATGCTAAGCATATATTAAGATATTTCTAATACTTTATGTCGTCTGCGACACTTCTTGGGGTAACAGGATATATCGTTATTTGTGTAAATTATGTAAAATTTTAAATTATCATTGTTGGATAATGAGCACTGTGACCAATCATTTGAATATCTTTTCGTCTAGCTTCGTTAATTTTTATGACAAAGTAACATCTTTTGATTTTGTTGTTTCTCACTAATACACATTTAGATAAAATTTTATCTATGTATATATAATATATATTATTATAAATTTTAAAATAACATCTGATTTAAATGACAGCAATAGTGACCACAGGGAGATTAGTTAAGAATGTATTTTATGTGTATTATGGTTTATGTTGTAATGAATACAGTTCTTAAATATTATTACATATCAAAGTTTGCTACTTATTTAGTGAAGTTGAATATTTTTAACAAACTTCATTTAATAAATGCACATTGTTTTTTTTAATAAAAATATAATGTTTATTTATAAAGTCATTAATCGGCAACAATATTGAAAACATATGGAACGTTTTAATTATATCGTATACTCATTGATGTTGGAGTTTAAAGTTATATAGTTTGTAACCAGCCTCTATATTTATTTATTAATTCATTCGTTGGTTCGTTTGATTGTTCCTTTGTTCATTTATTCATCAATTCATTCCTTCATTTCGCTGTGATTTTAAAAGAAATGATTTTGGCATTTGTATTCATGTTTGCGCTTTTTGGGGTTAGTAAAATTGTTTCTTTAAATAACTGTAGTTACTGTATATAAATAGTTATTTCACAGGTTTTTGAAAAATGTGATTTAACGAATGAGTGTCGTAAATCAAAATAATATATTCAATTATTATGTAGCTTAAATGCTACTTTAAAAACAAAATATTGCATAAAATATGTTTGAAATACGAACGATTACAATTAATTTTATTGTTCTTAAATAAAGCTTGGGAACAGACTTGAAAATTTAAGTTTGTTAAAAAATAATCTCTTTGTTTTAAGACTAAGAGTTGATATTGAATTAAGACTACGTTAAGCATTAAGAATGTTGTCTCCTCACAACATGAAGTGTACATTGAGACAAACTAAACAAAGTTTCACTCATGTGTTTAAACTTTCTGAATTGTTTGAAGTCAAAAGACATTTTGTAAGGAATTTGAATTAAAATTTGGTCCAACATCTTGTATATACCGTCAACTTTATTTCACACAGAAAGGTTGATTTTTTTAAACATATCTGTGATATTATATTTACAAAATATATGGGAACTAAAATCACTAAATCTTGATTCCAAAACACAAAGATACCGTGGTCGCTTTTAAACTTTGTTATACATAGTTTAGCAATGTATGTATGTATGTAAATTGATTGAATGAATAAATTGATTTCTTTCATTGTAATAATAATTAATAAACCTACAAATACATAATATAAATATCGAATTAGCTACAAATTTTCACTTTATTTCTTTATGAGGCAAACTGTTAGAATAAAAATACAAAATAAATAATAATCACACTAGGAAAACAATAATAAGTATTAGAAATATTTATTAGCCTTTTATAAAAAAAATTAACATATTTTTGATAATGCCTTATTAGAATATTAGTCGCATCACAATAAAAACCAAACCAAGTGTTAGTGTCTTATTAAGGCAGATATGTAAGTATTTATAACTACACCTTTAAAAAAGGAGTAGTATCATTTAATAACATAACATTTATTCGTCTTAAGACGTCTTTACCTCTTTTATCCATATCTTCTCTGTTTAACCACGACCCATACAATTCTTCTAGACCTTCCAGATTCTTGGCAGTATTTTAAGACAAAATAGTGTCCCGTTTGGACTACGTACTTCTGTCACGTTTGCTGCCAAAAGTCACAAAACTGCTTAAAACTCTATAGTGAAATGTTCAATAAGACTTATTATTGACCTCGATTTGGTTAACACAATTTTAGTCACTCTCAAATCAAGTAAACGAGTCAAACTCTTGGTAATTTATAGATTGTACCTAAGAGAATGTACTCAGAAGACGAAACCATTTGCTCTAACAGCCGAATACAAGACGTTATCGTTTATATTCTATACTATATATATATAATGCTTTCTGAAATACTAATATATATTTTAAATAACTCCATTCAAATTCCGATGTTATAATTACCTATATAGTAGTTCACAATATATTTAGTAAGGTCAGGTGCAGAAGCACATCTGCGAAATATCGTAGAACATAACAAAGAGATGTTTCTTGAGTAATTGGTACATAATACGCACTGACAGATTCTAATGCGGATTACTATTTGACTTTGGTGACACGTAAAGGTGACTTACTCTCTGATTGGTAGATTGAAAAATGTTTTATCCACTGTAGTTATTACATCAAATATTTAATATAATATCAGAGTATAGCAAAAAATTTCAATGAAAGAATGATTTCAATTAAATTAAGAAGCGAATCTGCTGTACTGTATAAAATGAAACTTTGAGATTTTATTATTTTGTTCTTTATATTTAAATTGAAAGACTGAAACCTAAGAATTAACACAAAACTTTGTACATAACATATAAAAAGATATATCGCATAATGTATTTTTCAGAATATAAGTTAAAAATTAAAATATTTCTGTTGATACTATTCAATTGTAAATTAACATAGATTTGATATTATAATTAAATAAACGTATTTGTTTCCTTATTATCAAAAGGTTTTACGTACCTTACGTATGGTACGTTTCTTGTTATGGAATTATTATTTTAACTTTTCGGGTAAAAATATAACAAAAATTTGACAATACTTATAACTTACACATGTATCTAGGTAAGATGCCATCAACGCTAACCGTTGAATTTTTGAATGGCATTGTAATTAAAATAAAAAATGCCTCCTTTCCTTGGAGAAATACCGATTTGTAAACTAAATAGCAGCATTTTTTTTCTTTAGCAGCAATACAGATCCTTATAGACGAAGTACAGAAAAGTATGATAATGATAGGTTTTTCCGACTTAAAAATTATGTTTTGTTTTTACTATAACTGCTTTTGATGGTCAATAACTATCCGTTATACACAAAATCTTTGAAAATAAGTGTAATTATCTTCTATCTTCTATATATATAAAAATGGATTGCTGTTCCTTAGTCTCGCTAAAACTCGAGAACAGCTGAACGGATTTATCTTATCTTAGTCTTGAAATGTTCGTGGAGGTTCAGGGAAGGTATAAAAGGTGAGAAAAATTGGAATAATTGCCGGGCAAACCCTCAAAACAGCCATTTTCTATTTCCCATACAAAAGTTTTTTTTGACATTAGATTTGACAACTAACTAATGTGTCAATCATTCTGTTTGATTGGAACAGGAAAAACCTGATTATTTATGGCCTCTAAGACGGAATAGAGTTCGCCTGGTCAGCTACACCTACATATATTACTCTTGACCAAACTAACGCGGACGAAGTCGCGGGCAAAAACTAGTGTTTTATAAATCTTAACATTTGCATAGATGACAGCTTGTAATCGTATATTTAATTTGTTCTTATATTATTTTTTATTACTTAGCTTTCTACCTTTTTCGTGATGGAAATATAAATTTATTAATTTTATGTAATTAACTGTAAAAATGAGTAAAAACTTTCTAAATTCTGTAACAATTTCCTCTATCATCTTCAAATCTATTTCAATACAAAAAAGAGTAAAATTCAGAACAATATGGAATTATTTGTATTTTCGTTGATAAATTTGATATTCTAATTCAGTACGGGGATTTTTTTATTTTTCACATATAATTCTTCGAACGGGATAATATGTTTA